CCCCTCAATAAAAGTGCCCTTAACCCTAAACGGACCCTAAACCTTAAAGCCTGAAACCTAACCCCGAAGCGTAAGAACCCCATCCTCAAAGCCTGAATCTCGCGCGTTAGGCGCCTCAGGGTCTGAAATGCTATGAACCTTCTAAACCAACCCCATGACTGCAGCCACGGGACGAAGGACTCATCTGCGAACGCGTCCAATTCGGCCACGTCGCCTGCAGACACAATGCTGATGCTAAACCCTTAAACTCCTAAAGCCTGAACTCTAAACGACTGCAATCAAGAGCTTTTGAGCTTGTCTAGCAAGACCTGGGACGACCAGTCGTTCTTGAAGCTTCGCGGCAGTGACGAGACGCAGGAGAAGCCCAGTGCGCTGGAAGCAAGGTACAAGGCCGGCGGCTTACATTGGCCCCCCGCCTGCAATTTTGCAAGAACCTGGCAGGAACTGCACACGGTGTCTCCTTATGTGCTCCAAAGGACTTCTAGCACGTGGTCTGTTGTTGTGCCGTGGCGGAAGCCACAGCCCGCACTCAAACAACATCGGCCTACACGGGATAGTATGAAAGATTGAAATCTCTGTTCCTCATCGAGTTGAAGTACCCTTACAAATGCAAAATGTTACCCCACTATGACAAAGGAGAAGTAGGTAATTAAGGAAGGTCCCCTTTATGTGCCGCTTCAAGTAAAAGCCTGTGCAAGGTACTTGGTTCCCTGGCCCGAACCCCCTGAATCCCATGACTTGTCAGGCTTTCGGCAGATCAAGGGTAGACAGATGATGAAAGGTGCCCAGGAAAGATGTTCTCTAGGAGAAGCCAAGCAGGGAAGACCCGTCAGTGCCTGGAAGTCCACCAGTAGGGCCTGCAAGCTGCTCACGCAAGGGCTGCCCCCCTGAAGACATCACAAGCTCCTCTGCAATTCAAGTGCAGACTGCTGCAATATGCAATGCACATTCTTGGTTGAAAAGTTGGCAGTGACTGCTGCGAAAGGCCGATTTTTTGCGTGACTGCCCTGTGTGCTGTGTGGGCCGAGGTTGCGAAACCAAAGTCTCACTACGAACATCCCGACTGTTGGGGACACCTGCACCGACGGTCATAGTGATGTCCACCTGGTGTGCCGCTCTTATAGTCTTTCGGGCACATGAAGCTCAGGCTGCCAATGTCAACAAGCTGAACTGCGCCATCGCTGGTCTGGGACGGCTCCCGGGCACAAGTGCCCTCGGGTTGCTTCCGGTACAGGGCCTGTCCAGATTCACATAGGCGAGTGAACTTGTACTTGATGCACTTCGTCTCATGTTTCTGGTGGTACGTAGTCCAACTCTTCGTTGTGTAACGGGCATGACAAGAGGTAACCTTGCCTACGCGGTGGCAAGTTGTCCCACTCTTGACTCGCTTGCTATGCCTTGAGCTTGTAACGTAAGGGACCGATGCGGTCGCTTCACAAGTTGATGTCCACTGGTCCATCCGTTGCCAACTGAAGTCCATCTCACTCTCGTTGGCCGAAGTGGCGGGGTCATCCGCAAGAAGAGGGTCTCTGGCACGCACGAAATCTGGGAAGATGTGCGAGTAATCCATCCTGTCTGGGGTTGCTCCGAAAGTGATGGACCCCTTCCTTGGCTGGCATCGGAACCCAAGTAAAGTAGGGCCAGCTCACCACCTTCTAAAACTCAAAAAGCTCTGAAAAAAGCGTATTGTTGTGCAAGTCGCCTGTGGCTATGCTCGCTTGTCTCGTGGTAGTGACCTTCAACGATAACTGGGCTCACCTCGCTGGGAGCACCATCACGTGGCAAGCATCGCTCAGCTTCAAGAAGAGCAGCCTTCCCATCAAGTGCAGAAAAAAGACATCAAAAACATCTGTTGAGGGGGTTCGGTGGATGCTTATAAGGAATGAGGCCTATGTAGGTCATCCTTTAGTAGGGCTTCCGACTCGTAGCATCTGCCCGAGCCTGGTGGCAGCAGCACTCCATGCTTGCTTCTGTTCGGAGGACGCATTGGCCCGCATCTTTCACAAGCTCAACCTCAGAGCATTGGAGCTCCTTGAACATGCCTGCTTTCTGGGCATTCCTCACAAATCCCTGCGCATCCGCCGCTTGCACCGCCTGCCCCGTGTAGTCCGTGCTCTCGCTGATGTCTTCCATGTCAAACTCTAAGACCTTGAAAAACCTGCGACCCTTTTCACTGTCGTAGTATATGTTTGTCGACACGAAGGCTTCGGCAGTGGCTTTCTTGACCCGAAGGCCAACCGATCCGATCTTGTCCTTGAGATGGCAGCACGATGTACTTGGAACCGGCCGGACCTCGGACAAACAAAGGTCCATGGTGTCCTGCCGCTTGTAGCTCCACCCGACGAAGGTGAACACGGATGTCCAATCCAATTTGCAGCACAAGCCCTGGTCTTCATGATACCACTTGTAGCGATTGGGATCTTTCTCGCTGTGCTCGTCCTTGACGCTCCCGCAATCCTCGATGGAAGCCACCTGCACCCAGAACAAAGAGCTCAAACAAATCTGAGACAGTGCCCCGAAAAGACCCTCGTGTGTGCACCGAAAAGGCTCTCGTGTGAATTTTGGAAGTTCACCCTGAAGTGTTTTGAAAAAGGAGCTGCCAAGAAGAGAAGAGAAGGCATGCACTTACGGCCACTCCCATTTGGGGTGCCGGGTTTCCAGCAAGCTCGATGGTCATGAAGCTCATGGGTTCTGTGTAAAAACAACAATGTGCTGCACAAATCTATCGCAGGCCTTCTTGCAGTAGCAGCCGACTCCCTTCATCATCTCCGCCTGGTCTGCTTCCGATGCATTGGCGTACTTCACAGGGCTCGACGAGGGCCACTGACGGCCGGGGGCGCCGATGAATCCTTGTTGGAGTGCACCCTGCACGTCCCTGACCGCGCGGTGTGCCAGAAGCACGCGCGTGGAGAGGACAAGGATGGAGGGGAGCAGCCAAGACATGGCTGGAACCTCCCCAAGTGCTCTGGATCTGTCAAACGTACGTAGCGTCTGTAGCAAGGAGCCACGGTTCGGCTGCGGCACGGCGCAGTGCAAAGCAAAGTGGGCACACACACCCGAAAACCCAAAAAATCACCCAAGCACCGAAAAAAGTCCCAACAGCCCTGGGCCCTAAACCCTGCCATCATCAACCGGCAAACAGCTGGCGGGCTGGGGCCCCTGGCTACAAAAGCAGCCTCACCTCGTCGTAGAGGCTTTTCAGAGGCGAAAGAAGCCGCTGAAAACACCTGGAGCCGTGAGAGGCTATAAACACTGGAACTGAAACCTTCTCACTTCCCAAAACGCCTGTCGACAACGTCAGTCACAGAACCTCAACGGCCGCAAGCCAGCAGACACTTGACATCCGATCTTTCCACTCTTCAGGGTGTCCCGTTTGTGATGTCAGCGAGCCTTGCCGGCCTCAGCGAAAATGGATGGCGTGACACGATTTCGCATCATCATGCAGTGGAAGTGGACAGATGTTGCTGTCTATTCACTTTTCAAAACGCATGTCGACGACGTCAGTCAGAGAACCTCAACGGCCGCAAGCCAGCAGACACTTGACATCCGATCTTTCCACTCTTCAGGGTGTCCCGTTTGTGATGTCAGCGAGCCTTGCCGGCCTCAGCGAAAATGGATGGCGTGACACGATTTCGCATCATCATGCAGTGGAAGTGGACAGATGTTGCTGTCTACTCACTTTCCAAAACGCATGTCGACAACGTCAGTCACAGAACCTCAACGGCCGCAAGCCAGCAGACACTTGACATCCGATCTTTCCACTCTTCAGGGTGTCCCGTTAGTGATGTCAGCGAGCCTTGCCGGCCTCAGCGAAAATGGATGGCGTGACACGATTTCGCATCATCATGCAGTGGAAGTGAACAGATGTTGCTCCCTGTTCAGTTTCCAAAACGCATGTCGACAACGTCAGTCACAGGACCTCAACGGCCGCAAGCCAGCAGACACTTGACATCCGATCTTTCCACTCTTCAGGGTGTCCCGTTTGTGATGTCAGCGAGCCTTGCCGGCCTCAGCGAAAATGGATGGCGTGACACGATTTCGCATCATCATGCAGTGGAAGCGGACAGATGTTGCTGCCTCTTCACTTTCCAAAACGCATGCCGACAACGTCAGTCACAGAACCTCAACGGCCGCAAGCCAGCAGACACTTGACATCCGATCTTTCCACTCTTCAGGGTGTCCCGTTAGTGATGTCAGCGAGCCTTGCCGGCCTCAGCGAAAATGGATGGCGTGACACGATTTCGCATCATCATGCAGTGGAAGGGGACAGATGTTGCTGCCTATTCACTTTCCAAAACGCATGTCGACAACGTCAGTCACAGAACCTCAACGGCAAGCCAGCAGACACTCGACATCCGATCTTTCCACTCTTCAGGGTGTCCCGTTGGTGATGTCAGCGAGCCTTGCCGGCCTCAGCGAAAATGGATGGCGTGACACGATTTCGCATCATCATGCAGTGGAAGCGGACAGATGTTGCTGCCTATTCACTTTCCAAAACGCATGCCGACAACGTCAGTCACAGAACCTCAACGGCCGCAAGCCAGCAGACACTTGACATCCGATCTTTCCACTCTTCAGGGTGTCCCGTTAGTGATGTCAGCGAGCCTTGCCGGCCTCAGCGAAAATGGATGGCGTGACACGATTTCGCATCATCATGCAGTGGAAGCGGACAGATGTTGCTGCCTATTCACTTTCCAAAATGCATGTCGACAACGTCAGTCACAGAACCTCAACGGCCGCAAGCCAGCAGACACTTGACATCCGATCTTTCCACTCTTCAGGGTGTCCCGTTAGTGATGTCAGCGAGCCTTGCCGGCCTCAGCGAAAATGGATGGCGTGACACGATTTCGCATCATCATGCAGTGGAAGCGGACAGATGTTGCCTCTTCACTTTCCAAAACGCATGCCGACAACGTCAGTCACAGAACCTCAACGGCCGCAAGCCAGCAGACACTTGACATCCGATCTTTCCACTCTTCAGGGTGTCCCGTTAGTGATGTAAGCGAGCCTTGCCGGCCTCAGCGAAAATGGCTGGCGTGACACGATTTCGCATCATCATGCAGTGGAAGCGGACAGATGTTGCTGCCTTTTCACTTTCCAAAACGCATGTCGACAACGTCAGTCACAGAACCTCAACGGCCGCAAGCCAGCAGACACTTGACATCCGATCTTTCCACTCTTCAGGGTGTCCCGTTAGTGATGTCAGCGAGCCTTGCCGGCCTCAGCGAAAATGGATGGCGTGACACGATTTCGCATCATCATGCAGTGGAAGCGGACAGATGTTGCTGCCTATTCACTTTCCAAAACGCATGTCGACCACGTCAGTCAGAGAGCCCGTTCGGGAGAACCAAAGCCGTTTGTTACACCTCTTTGAGGCAGCTCAAGCTCCCAGAGGCTGTACAGGTCCGAGCCCTCGAAAGACCACGAACCCATCTTAGGCCCACATACTCAAGAGGTGCAACATAACTTCCTTAAGCCCTGAGCCTCAATCACTCCTTCCCCTCCCCTCAAACACCCTCTGTGCTTCCAAACCCACCTGCGAGCCGCAGGGTGGACCCAACAGCGCGGCAGCTTCGGAGCTGAGATCACTTTTGCTTCTTTGCTGTGCTGGCCCAAGGCTTGTGGAACTGGGGGGTTGGTCCTGAAGCAAAGCTTCAGGAGCAGCTTCCTATGTCATGTCTGAATCATGTCCGGCTTAAAACTCGAGCCCCACACACACAGACTTTGCTAAAGCCAGCAATGCGAAGCTCCTGCATGACCATACTCGAAGGTTCATGATAACTAGTAACCCAAAACCCTAAATGTAACGGCCAAGCAGACCATGAGGCTGGAGCATTTAGGGTTTAGGGTTTAGCGTTTAGGGATTTATTCATAGGCCGATTGTCGCACCGTCGCAAGCAGCGGTTTCGGGTTTAGGGTTTAGGGACTTAGAGACAAGCATGGGGCTTGTAAGTGCGTCCTTCCATTCTGCTGCAGCTGAGAAGGCCCTCTGCTGTCTTTTTGTTTTTTTCATCCTTGCTTCTCGCCTGCACACGCTCCCTCAGCTACCCTCCGATCTTTGCTCTCCTACTGTGACATGGGCTGAAGCCGATCAGATGAAAGAGAGCTGAGAGTGTCAGCCTAGAGCTTCTTCCATGTCTTTCCCATGCATCTCCTAAACCCTAAACCCCAAACCTCTAGAGCCCTAACGCAGGAGACTATGGCTGTGGTGAGGTCCCCCCCATTTTTGTGGGACATGGTGATAAGAATCGATGGGGAGGGGGATAAGATGCTCCCTACGTGGCTGCCTCACCGCTTCGGTGGCTTGGCGGCTGATTTTGGTCGCAGGAGCGGCCCTGCAGACATCGACCTCAGTGCCGTCGAGCTGCGCTGCGCTCAGAAACGACTTATTGTGGGAAGTTCAGGGTTGCAGGGGTTAGGAAAGCTTTAAAAGTTCTGAGCACTCTACATCCGTCAGACGTCAAGCCAAGGCAAATTTGTGTGGTGAGATGCAGGTCTAACAAGTCTGTATCCAACCCAGGGAAACAGGCAACAGTGAGAATGCTGCTGCTACTCCCAGATCCTTGCCTAAACGCACCCCCCTAAACCCTAAACCCTAAACCCTAAACCCTAACCCCTAACCCCTAACCCCTAAACTTAGTGGAGCTTTGTAAGCTGCACGCCCAGGCTTCGCCGCGGACTTTGGTCGGCAGAGAGTCTCCTTTCGAGAAGTTGACAGCAAGCCAGGCCGAAAAGATTATGATCGGTCCAGGGTTTAGGGTCCTTTTTGGGTACCCTGAATGTCAGGTTATAATAGGGATCCAAGAAGGGGCCATCATTTTGACAGCCACCCACATGTACTGCGCATCAAGTTGCCTCTTTCAACTGAGTGCCAGGCCTCCCAGCAAGGCGCCTGCAAGGGAGTGTGGGCCAGGGAGATTTCTGGGAGCTTTCGTTGCTGGGGGGCTGCTTCAGTGAGATTGCTCCCTTAAAACCCTCTGAAGCCCCTAGGAGCCCCTAAGGAGCCTTTTCCTTCGCCCAAGTCCTCGATCGACTCGCTTCTCTCGCTTCCCGAGAGGGGCGCCTGGGGGGCACGGAAGGGGCGGTTTTGGATGGAGACTGCTTTTCTGGGCTTTGGCTGACTCAAAAAACTGAGGGCTTTTAGGGCTCTTAGGGCTCTTAGGGTTCTTAGTCTTAGGGTTTTGGGTGTTGGGTGGCCCAAGGCTACATCTTGCCAAGGCACCGATCCCGGTTCGACTCACGGCGTGACCTTTGCCGCCTCCATGGTATGAGAGCAGAGGCACCGGGGAAACAACCAAGCGGTTGAGGTGTGTCAGGGCTTCTGCCATATATGGCGGGTTGACCATCCTTATCATGAGTGTAACTTAGGCACCTATGGAAAGCTATCTTCCCCCCCGCCATGAAAGCCCCCCACTCTGATCCCTCTACATCCCGCATGCCCTTTCAGGGTCAAGCAACAGAGCCCACTCCAAGGTCCCCTGCCATATGAAGCAGGGATTCACCAAGATATACACCCATCAAGAACGGTGATACAAGCTCTGCTTCATGTCTGCTTCCAAGGCCTAAAGAAGTCACTAAACCTGATTGCCGGCCAAAAGCAAAAGAACTCTAAACCCAACCGCAGGAAGCACCACCCAAACTACATGAACTTTCACAACACCAACCAAAGACATCCGCGAGGGTGCCCGTAGGCTGCTTCCGGCCTCTGAGAGCGTGACTCGCGCCCGTTCCGGTCTGGCCAGCTCTTGTTGAGATGTGTTCATGCGGATCGGGGCTTGTTTGTCATAGTAGCCCAGTAACTTCGTTTGTTGATCTGAGTTCCCAAGCAAAGTCTCCAGTGCGTTGGCTTGCTTTTCGTTTAGGGTGCCAATAATTTACTCCCACCCACCCCCCTCAAGAGTGCGATCAAATTTAGCTGCATGACTTCCTTCCAATGCCAAGCTCCACCTCAACGCCCTACGCCCAGCCCTGCGCCCAAAGCACGGGGCCTTCGAAATGGCCAGGGGGAGCCTGCGCAAGGCTCAGATCCAAGGAGGGAACCCTTGATCTTATTCCCTACGCATACCTTATATAGTTTCTTTTACCGAAGTAGCCCCCTACATCTCTTGTTGGCTATAAGGGTCCCTCCTTTCGTCCCTTGAAGTCCCGTGTATGAGCTGTTGTAGGTTTCAAGGCTCCTCCTTCCTCTTCCGCATTTGCTGCACTGACCTTGAATGAGCCAAGGAATGCCCTTGAAGCTCAGGGGCAGCAGCAAAAGGGACAAGCGGAAGAGCCTCTTTACAAATGCATACCTTGAACTGTGGCCTGTGCTAAAGAAGGTGCCGTTTACGAGAAAGCGGAGCGCAGCAGGGCTAACAAGAGGTCCCCCACGAGGGGTGCCCTAATCCTGCCTAACCTTGAAGTCTACGCATGCATAGAACAAGGGATGTGTAAAAACTGTTTGTTTGGCCTAGGCCCTGCATGTTGAACCCACCCAACTCCCACACATTCGGTTGCCCGGTAACCTCAATGTTCCCTCTACAAAAACGACAGGTGTGGGCGCACTCTGGGGTTCAACGTTAAGGAGGGTTAAGGCTCCCCCCCTCCCCCGAAGAAAGGAAGGAAACAAGGGCGCGACTGGGCATCCTAGGACTTTCATACTTGGTCCCCTCCCTGCGGCCGGACCTCCCGCCCGCGGCTTCGCCGACCTGCGCCGGGGGGAAACATCATCCTTGCTCTCTTCTTCCCAGATCCCCATGTATCTTGGCTAGGCAGCTAGACCTAGAATGGTCTAAGCCCTAGACCCTGAACCCCGAACCTTCTTGGGATTCATGTTCGCGTAATCCTTACCGTTCATTTCTGCAAAAATAAGAAGGTCCTCATAATGTTGACCCACCCGTAAGGATTCTTAGCCTTCCTCAACGCTCTGCAGGGATTCTGTTCGAGCGGCCGGGCTAGCTCCTCAAAGAAACCTAACCCTCAACCCTCAACCTCCAACCCTAAACCCTTAAAACTCTAAAAGTCATCCCGAAACGCCTGGGGGCAGGTGTCAGCTCACTTTCTTTTTACGTCACGCTTCACCAGCGTTCGGTTCATCGGGGCCCTCGTCATCATCCACGCGGTAGATGGCCAATAGCAGACCTCCCCGGGAAGGCAGCGGTTTAGGGTTGACCCTAGAGGTTTAACTATTGGAGCACCTTCGCTGAAAGACAAACAGCCCACCCCTTCGTCTTTGCAATTCGATGCCTCCAACATACACCTTCCTCTACGTAGAGGACTCGGACATCCTCAACAAGGCGCCTAAAAACCCTAAACTCAGCTGTTGTTAAAATACCGCCCCTGAAGAAGTCACAATTTTGTGGTCCCTAAGTCTGCCAGCGTAGACCCCAACAGCGAGAGACGATGTGAGCCTGTCCGAAACCGACGACAGCTTCGCATTTCGCGAACCCAGACGTCCAAAAGCGATGGCAGTTCCGGATCTTGCAAACCCGGGGTTTAAGGTTTAGGGTTTAGGGAAGATGACTGTTTCGAGGATGGCGAGCGCGGCCACGCCCGAGAAGATGTGAACAAGCTTCAAGAGGGCACTCCCCTTGCCCTTGATGTTGGAACTTCTTTGGTGTTGACACGCTGCTGCTTGGCACATAACAATCCTCAAGCCCAGTAAGTTGTACACCCTAAACGCCACAGTTTCAGAAGACGACGCCATGTTCCCAGATGCCCCGGGAGGTTCGTGATGCACCCCCAAACTCGAAACCCTAGACTCTGACGCCCAAAGCTCCAAAACTCCGAATATTAGTCCATCTCCGGGTCCAAGACACGGAGTGGCGAGGCCAAAGTGTCCGGAGACACCTCCTCGCCATTGATTTCCTGACACCTCGCGTTCGAAAACTTGGGGCTCTTGTCTGGTTGGAGGGGCCCTGGTTTAGGGTTAGGGCTTAGGATTTGGGGTTCCGAGTTAGGGGTGTAGAGCTTAGGACTTTGGGGTTGCTTAGGGTTGCGTTGGCGTGCTTCAGGGGTTCTTGGGGATGTCAGGGGTTAGAAGCGGGGAGGACCCTGACGCTTCAGCAGCTCCTTGCACTCTCCCCCAAAATGCCGCTGTGCATGCTTGCAAGCCCTTGGATGAGTGCACCTCTGCTCAAGTAGCCGAGTGCAAAGCATGTCTGAACATCAAAGTGTACCCGTCGCAACAAAATCGCCCCAACAGTCTTGCCGCCAGTCCCCTGAATGCTCTAGGGCCAGTCTGAACAACACACGAGCCGTGTAGCAAAGCAGGTTGCCTCAGTGCCATTGCATGCAATCCTGGAGCCTCTCCCCTGTTTGTCACAGCCTCCCCCCCCCCCCCCCCCCCCCCCCCCCCCCCCCCCCCCCCCCCCCCCCCCCCAATGTAAGCATGCAAGCTTATGTCCGCGCCTGTGCTGCAATGGGCGCTCCTGTGGGCCAGAACTGACATGTAAATGGAAAATGGCTCATGAAGAAAGACTGGAGGCTTCATGCTCGCATAGACATCCAGCTAACACAGTAGGTTCCCTGAACGAGGCTCCTCGAAAAGATCATACCCGTGACATGTACATGGATCTGCTCGAAAGTAGAGTCTTTCGGTAGGCTATGCGATAACTGCACTCCTCAATGTAGTAATGGTGTTTGGTTCTAAAGTAGGGCGCCTTTAGTGGGCCTCCTTTTCTCGAATCCTCCTCTCAGTTTGCGGGTCCCAAAGTTAGGAGCCACTTGAGATTCAATGTGCTTGCAAGCCCCCTTGATAGCTGCAGTCATCCTGAGCCCTACGTATGGCTCCTACAAGTGCAGCTCACCGAAACCCTAATATGCACAGAATTGGGTTCACCTAACCCCCAACAAAAAACCCTAAACCCCTGAGGTCACACCCCTAAACCTCCAAGAGTTTTTCAAGGCCTGGCTCTTCGCGCACGGCGCAGCTCGGAAGTCTACCGGGTTTAGATTTCAGGGTTTCGAAGGTTGAGGGTCATTTTACAAGAGACGCCCAAAATCCCCATGTGCATCGGGCAGCCACAGGTGGGCTCCTACGTAGCTCCAACTCCTAACAGCAGCTGTCCGCTACCCCGAACCGTCAGGTCAAGCCCTCAACCCCAATACTTCTCCGAGCCAAAGCCCGAACAGCTGTCCTTCTGCACCAGCACAGAGGGGATCCGCCAAGCCGGCCGCAAGAAACCTAAAAGGAGCCGTGCGCTGTGGTGTTCGGTCAAGCTGGGTGTTTGGGGTACAAAAGAAGCCCTAAACCCTATGAGCCCTATGAGCCCCTGAGCCCCGAACTCAAGAACTCAAAAACCCCAAACCTGGAATCCCTAAAACTCCAAAACCGTGTAACCCATAATCTCACAGCTATACCGAGATAATCACTATAGTGATAGAACCCTTAAACCCAAACCCGAATTCCCTCCCTTTCATAGTTTGCCAATGGCCACTTTGCCACTGTTTTGCCAATGGCCACGGGGACCTACCCCTTCCCCTTCCCCTACCACAGGTCCAAAAGGCCTCTTTTGTCCCAGACCCCCATTCTGGGCTCGAAACCCTGGGTCTGGGGCAGATGAGGGCTTCAACCCCCCCCCCCCCCCCCGCCTCCCTTATTCTTTCTCATTTTGAGTGGTTCGAGGGTGGGGTGGGGGAAAACAAAAAATCATGAGGTTGACACACTCATGCGATTGTACGAGGATGCCACCCGGCACTTTGTTACGGAGTGTTTCGGCCCTGTTGGGAGAAACAAGAAATATCTGGCTGTTCGTTCCCGGTACGAGGGTGGGGTGGGGGAAAACAAGAAACATAAGGTTAACACAATTAGGTGTGCTTTCTTCTGGCTGTTCCGCGTCCGTAAACAAAAACATGGGTTGTACGAACAGCCAAACAACACCACCTAATTTTGTTAACCTCATGTTTCTTGTTTTCCCTCACCCCACCCTCGTACCGTCCACGGACAGCCAGCAAAAAACCCAATTTTGCTAACTTCATATTTCTTGTTTTCTCAACAGGCCCGAAACACTCGTAACAAAGTCGCGGGTGGCATTCATGCCATCGCCACTTTGTTGCTTCTGCGACCGAAAACAAAAAACATGAGGTTAAACAAGATTAGTTTTTGGTTTTGTGGCTGTTCGTGCCCCAAAACTCCAGGGTGATTTTGATTTATTGCATCACCCTGCCCCCCTTTCTTGTCTTGACGTGGTTGCTTTGGAATTGGTGCCCGGGTGACCGCGCCTCCCGCGGGCCCATGACAGAGTGAGGTTGGGGGGACAGGGCTTGTTGATGAAAAGTATGAACTTTACATTTCTTAATGTTTCGGGATTCTCTGGGTGGGCTTTGTTTCTGGAGTCGAAACAGCGGCTCTACCGAACCCTACACCGAACCCTACACCCTAAACCTTCCTGAACCATCTTACAACAGCGCTCAAAGGTCGGATGTCCGAGCTCCCCCGCACTCTCGCAGGCTGCAGAACATGGGCAGCGTGGCATCCTGACACCGAGCTGGGGTCTTGTCTTTCAAAGGGGCTTTCGTGTGGGGCTTTCTAGGGGGGAGGGGTGGGGTCTCAAGCACCCTTAAAGTCTAAACCCTAAACCCTAAGCCCTAAACCCTTAAGTCTATTTAGGCGTTCAGGGGTTTGTTGAAGTTGTTTGGGGGCTTTTGGGGGGCGCTTCAGGGCTTTGAGCCGCCCGCCGCCGCTCCACCTCCCTAAGCCCCAAAAGCACCATAGCAAGAACCCAGAAAGGATGGCCCCTTAAGACCCTCTGATTCCCGAACATGATCCTCTTACACCCCTTACACCCCCCCAAAAAAAGGGGAAGTACAGAAATACACTTTAAGAGGCTCCCTAAACCCTGAAGTCCAAAGGCGTTCACGGAGAGCTGCAGAGGCCCCGGGCCTTCTCGGCATGGCGGCAGACGATGGCCTCAGGGAACGACAATGCCCGGCTTCGCTTTGTCAGTTTTGTTCTGTTTTGAACTTTTTTGTAGCGCGATTCCAGGAAGAGCCCCCCAACAAAAACTCCAAAATAACCCACAGATCCCGCGCGACGCCCTCGTTTTTTTGGGGGAGGGGTCTTGAGAGGTCTTCGCCGCTTATGAGGGTTCAACGGGCTTTCAGGGGCGCTGTGGGGCTTTTGTTCCGCACTCCCGACAATCAGCCCTACAGCCCTCTGCGTCAAGCACACATTTTTGCTGACAACAAAAGCTGTGAAACCTACTGACCCCTGAGCCCCACAACCCAAAGTCCTACAAACCTTCAAGCCCTGAAATCGAAGCCTTTCAATCTGCATTTCTCTATGAAGGAAAAATACGTCGCCCAGGAGTCATCTCATTGTAAGCGAACACTATTTCTATCGATATTGGAGTCTTTGGATAAGTTGAGAAATATTCCTCCAACGTAGTAACATAGTGGGGCCTAATGTGATTGTCTGGGGGCCTTTTGCAACGGGCCCAGAACCCCACAGGGGTCAAAAATCATTGGTTCTCTACAATCTGCTTAAGACCCCCCCCAGAAAAGTACAAAAAACATATTTCTTATAAGGGTATTATGGGAATTAAAATGCTTTAATTATTTTTGGGGGCGCTTAAGCAAAGTTGCACTTCTGAGTCGGGAGCTTGGTGAGCGTACGTCTGCTTATAAGAAGTCGGCTTCGTCCGCCTGGGAATCCTAAACCCTAAACCCTAAACCCTCAAGCCCCTTGTAACTTGAAATTATTAAGAAAAATCTAAAAAACGAAACTCCTTGAAACTCCTCGAAACTTCCCCGGACCTGAACCCTTAATAATTTCAATAAATCCTAAACCCTAAACCCTGGGAGTCGGGCCCACCGGTGGCCCTCGCCACAGATCTGCTCGAAGTCCTCCGGCCTTGGCGGGACATGTGCCGCCCCGACCCGCGTAAGCGAGCTTTTTGAGGGGGTTTCGGCGGGTTTAGGGTTTAGGGTCTAGGGGTTTAGGGGTTTAGGGGTTTAGGGGGTTTCGCAGGGTTGAGAGGGTTTAGGGTAGAGGGGTTTAGGGGCTTCGGGTCAGCTTTCCGAAAAAATGCTAAACTCCTGAACCCTTGGGCTTAGATCAGGTTGTTCCTCGCATGGAGTCACAATGGCCACAAGAGGTCCTAACTTGGAGTTAGAGTGCGCTCTCGCAACATCAGCTTTAGTTAGCTAACGCTAGGAGGGACACCCTTCTGGGTTGTAGCTGAAGCCGCAACACCTTGAAGCCGTGTCAGGGCCGAGAGAGCGGAAGATTTCATGCTCTTGGCTTGCTTTGGCCGAAACTTTTCACACGAAGTCAGTGAATCCACAAATCCTGGTGGAAATCGGGATCCGGGATTCGGAGTCCGCTCCCAATCCAAGTGCCCTCCCCGAGCCCAAAAACCTACATTGCCTGAACACGTAAACATCGCTCAAGTCCGAACCCTAAAACACCTGGCGGAAAAGAGATCTCCAAGCCTAGAGAACTCCACGATTTTTTATCCCCTATTTTTCAGAGACTTGCACCCCCACCCCCCCGCCCCATCCCACTTTCAAACCCCGAGCCCTAAACCTTCGACACCCCCGAACTTTTAAAGCTCCAAACCCCAATCACTTCCCCGAATGGCCTGCTACCAGCTACGCCGGCCGTGCTGCGCTGGACTTCAAGGCCCAGCTTCAGCCTCTCGTCGGGTTTAGGGTTTAGGGTTTAGGATATGTGGGTTTTCTTGGGGTGTTCAGTTCGGGGTCTACTAGGGTTTCGGGCTTACGGTTTGCTCAACACCTCATGGTTCTTGGGAAGAAGCAGGCGGTATGCAAGCCACTTGATCATGTCGTCTTTCGGGTTGTGCTAAGGGTAGTTGTATGGGCCATTTATATGGTCCCTTACCTCCTTTCAAGGGCTCTGAAGTATGGGCGCTTGGGTTGTATAGGGTATATATAAGGGTTCCTGTTCAAGGGCCCATGTAACTACCCTAAGACCTGGTAACCATCTTAGAATAAGGGCACCCTTTTTTGGGTTGGTTATTTTATAAGGTAAACCAGAACCCAAAAAATGGGTAAAGGGTACCACTGGGCTACCAAGAAGAGGGCGCTGAACCCTTGCCATCACCGGTCTCAGGCTCTGGCAGCAGTCGCTTGTGAGGGCGCGCCGCATCGAAAAAACTCTCCTTGCGGGGTTTAGGGTTTAGGTTTAGGGTTTGGGGTGTAAGTTTAGGGTTTAGGGTGTAGGGTTTAGGGTTTAGGGTTTAGGGCGGGGGCACTGGCAGGGGCTCGATAAACTACCACCCCCCGCAGTTTCTCCGCGGGTGGAGCGCTTAAACACAACCTAAAACACCCCCCCACCCCCGGCCCCCCCTTGTGAAACCCCGATACCTCTAAGCCCCTAAGCCCCTAAACCCGAGAACCCCAAAACCCCGAGACCCTCGAGACCCCTAAACCCCTGAACTCTCAAAACCGAGGGCCTGCCGAACAGACCACTGAAGAGGCAACTTGGGAGCACACAAAAACTTCCCTGTCCAAGGACACAACAAATCATAACCTGAACAACAAAGTACACAGCATCACCCGCAGCAAGCAAAAGTAGTAACACATAGGGTGGGGGGGGGGTGGGGGCCCAAAGGCCCTAAATCCCATGATAGGGCTTAGGGCTTAGGGCTTAGGGCTTCGGGCTTAGGGTTTAGGGCCTAAATCCCATGGTAGGGTTTAGGGCTCAGCGTTTAGGGCTTAGGCTTTTTGGGGCCCTAAAAGCGCACCGACACGGCGAAGAGGTTCAGGCGAACGGTCAGCTCAACAGCTCCGATCCTCAGAGGTCGAGCTGTTGTTTTAGGGTTTCAAGGGTTTAGGGGGTTAGGGTTTTTAGGGTCTAGGGCTTTTAGGGTTGTTAGGGTTGTTAGGGTTTTAGGGTGTTTAGGGTTTAGGGTTTTTACGGTTTAGTGTTTTGGAAGGCAAACAGGGTACTGTCTTCAACTTGGAGACCTGGCCACCCTGAACCCAAAACTGTTAAACCACATCTTGCTCATGGAAACCCAGCGGCCGGAGCCGAGCCGACGGCAAGGATTCCACATTGGCCAGGGGGCGGTCCAGCATCGCGAGCGCCTCGGAACCCCTTTGGAGAAAGCTCTGATTGTCTCTGGGGTTTTTGGGCCCCTGGAGCCTTTATTGTCCATGAAAAGGGGGGTTTTCTAATCAAGGTAAGATCTTGGAGTCTTCTTGGCGGCGAAACAAGACCAGCTTAAGGGAACTGCTTGCTTTGCGGCGTTCTGCCGGTTGGGGCTGGGGGGGATGCTGCGGCTCCTGTACGGGCTTTTTTTTGTATGTCTTCAGAATCGGGGGAGCTGGAAGGGTTTAGGGTTTAGGGTTTAGGGTGTAGGGTTTAGGGTTTAGGGAACACAGCTCCTCATTCAGGTCTGCCTGAGGCACCAAGGGACAGGGCTTTGCAAGAACTGCCGGCCCTTTGGCTGGCAACTTTATGCCGCGATTGTTTCTGGGTAGCTTGAGCACTTCGAGGAAGTCTAGATTACACTATGTTGTATCAGGCTATATTCGGTTAAACTAGGTTATATTAGGTTATATCAGGTGATGTTTTGCCATGTATGATGATGCAGGAAACGGATGCGCGTGTCTTGCGGACAGGGCGCATCGGGTGCAAAGGAGGTCTGCCAAAGGAAGAGGAGCCTTCAGTCTCGGGCTCCTAGCGGGGTCCTTAACTTAAAGGATTTGGGGTTTTGGGGCGTTTAGGGCTGTTTTTGGTATAGGGTTTCTGGTTTAGGGTCTAGGTTTCAGGGGTTTTAGGCTTTGTAGGGTTGAGGGTTCTATAGGGGCTTCGGGTTGAAGGTTTCGGGCTTCAGAAGGCTAGCAAGCGAGGCACAGCTACGTCATGAGAGCCTTATTGTTCGTTTCCTATAATCCACAAACCCCAAACCCAAAAACCATGAACCCTACACCCGAAACTATGAACCCTCAACCATCAAAACCCTAGGCCTATAAGCCCTAGACCTCTAAACCCCAAAACAAGTCCGAGCGGCGCTTCCGGGAAGCGCTTGCGGCAGTTGCCCACTGCCTGCGGCCAGGCGTTTGGGAACTCTAGGTTTCAGGGCTGGGGGTTTAGGGTTTAGGTTTAGAGCTTGGGGTTTCGGATTTAGGGCTTGGGGTTTACGGTGTAAAGTTTAGGGTTTAGGGTGTAGAGTTTGGGGTGCAGGGTTCAGGTTTGGTGTGGGCTCAGAGACTGCGCAGGAGTGTTTAAGTTCTGAGGCTTAGGGTTGACAGGGCTTGTGGAGTTACAGGGTGGAGTTGCTGCAGGCCTATACATAGAACCTGAGAAATCGCAGAGAACCGCTCAGGTTTTTACACCTCACACCTACGTCTCAGTCCCTGGCATGGAGGTCGAGGTCCGAGACGGCACCGTCCCAGAGGCCAGGCGCCTGAAGCTTTTGATCTTCTTTTTGCTTCTTTTTGAGCTGAAGCACTTCCATGTATCTGCTTCAGCTCGGCGTTGGAGGTTTGAGACGTGTGAAGCTGTGATGTTTGAAAGTTCTGTTTGTCTTTCTTGGGGGGAGGTTTAGGGTTTAAAAGTTTAGGGTTTCGCGTTTAGGGTTTAGGGTGGGGGGTTTGTAGCTTGTTCCCCCTTTCTTTTTATCTTGCTTTGGTGCTTGCCGTGCTGAGTGGCAGCCGACCCTTAATTTGATGTGCCGCCCTCTCAGAACCTGTAGAGCCTGACTGTAAAAGGGTTTAGGGATTAGGGTTTAATTGTTTAGGATTAAGGGTTTTAGGGTTTAAATTGTTAAGGATGAAGGGTTCAGGGTCTAATTGTTAAGGAAAAAGGGTTCAGGGCGTAGGGTTTAGGAACCCTCCTCTTGCGGGTCCTGGGTGGCATCCGCCAGAAGAAATCTGCAGCGCAAGGTCCTTGGACTCAAGGGCAGCTTCGGGCATGAAAGACCATGGAGAGCCGGTTCGTGCATAGGGTTTAGAGGGTTTAGAGGGTTTAGAGGGTTTAGAGGGTATAGGGGTTAGGGTTTAGGGGTGTGCCTCCTGAATGCCTCGAGCAGGCGCGCAGAAACCCTCTACTTCTCAAACGTGATGAAATAAGCCCCTTGGAAGCGCATCTGCAAGATCAACCCGAACGCCATCTATAAGAACCCCAAAAGCACATAACTCAACTCCAAACCTCAAATCCCTAAGCCCCCCCTCAAGCTCCCTGAGCTCTAAGCCCCAAACCCCAAGCTCCCTAAAGTCTCAAGAACTGAAACAAAACCCCTTGTAATGGCCATGTTGCCTTTACCATGCAAAATAACCACTAATTGATGTATGCTGGGATGCTCCCCCTTATACTAACAATCCTTACTAGGGACTACAGTAGGGGGTACTATGATCCCTATGAAGGACTGTTAGAAAAAGCTCTAAACATCCCAAGCTTGATGTGGTGGGATTGTACCAGGAGTTATGGCTCCGTCAACCTGGAGGCCAGGGCGCTCCAGCGCCCGCGCCGCAGCCTGCAGTTGGCCGCTGCTGCCGCGGAGGAGGGTCTGCAGCCGCGCCTGAGCAGCGGCTTCTGAGCCAAAGTTTCAGTGATTTTGGTGGTTTTCCGGGTTTTAGGGAACTTAGGGACATTGGGGGTTCAGGGGTTAGGGGGCCTTTAAGGCTGAGGCTTTGGGGTCTTTTTGGGTTTGGGCGGCAAGGGTTCAGCTCTGAGGGCGCCGGATCTTAAGGGTGACGGAGTGAAGTTTAGCTGGGTTCTAGAGGGGTTTCGGGTTTAGGACACTTTTCACTTCGGTTGGACGGTTCCACTGGTGGTGGGGACAGCTTTACCTGTGCACGGCGTACACGAGTTGTGTCGTTTGCAGAGCTCAAGCGGAGGTCGAGCACTCACCCAGACTGTTGGGCATGGGCTCGTGCTTCGAGGACCCCGAAATCTTGGGCACGAAGCCCGAAAAGGTTTGAATAATCCTCGGCGAATCCGAATACCAACGCTTGAAGCATCCCGGGCCGCAGGGTGCAAACCTCCTGTACCTTCCTTGTAACTCACGCGACCTTTACGAGAAAAGACCCCCCCCTGGAAGATGACGACTGCTGCCGTGGCACGCGCAGGGAGTCCCCCACCTCCTCGCCGCGAGTTCAATGTGTCCCCGCAACCCCAGCAACAGCCACAAGTGCGAGGGGAACTCCTGTAAACCCTAAACCCTAAGCCCTGAACCCGTTACCCGTTCGAGGAGCCGCTTGACTCTCCCCCAACATCCTCGCTTCCCTAACGCAGCTCTTGCAACAGGGAGGTGCCCCTGAACAGCAGAGAAGGGCTTCCAAAGCCACAGGCCCTCACCTCTTTCACTCTGAGTGAAAGACCCGAAGTGTTGAAACACCAACCCCTCCAACCCGGAACTCTCACATCCTAAACTCCTTTAAGAGCCCCTAAGCCCCTACAAGCTCCCAAACGGCCCAAACGGCCTCAAAGCTCCCAAACTCCCAAATCTTCCGAAACCCCAAACCCTAAACCACAAACCCTAAACCTGAACCCTAAACCCTATAAATCCTATAAACCCTAAACCCTGAACTCGAAACCCTGCCGGTCCGGACTCTCCCCCAGCTTCGCGAGCTCCGGGGAGGCGGGCCAGAGGCGACCCAGGGAACAGAAGTCCAGGAGCCCTTTTTTGGGGAACTCATCTTTGGGAATCAGCATTTTTAGGGTTTAGGGATAGGGTTTAGGGTTTAGGGGAATTTCGGGGGGGGGGGGGGGCTTAAATAGAGCTTTGTGGATGTGGGGGAGAGACGCCTTCAGAGTTCTGGAAGCTTCGGCAACAGCAACCCGTTGGCTTCCCCAAGCCCTTCACCCCCGACCATAAACCCCAATCCCCCAACCCCTGGAGATCCTCAACCCCAAGCCCCAGAATGGCGTGCGCTTCTTCCTTCCTGCTGGGGGTTTTTGGATCCCCCGAGAGCAAAGGGTCTGATTTGAAGAACCTATTCCCGGATTCCCAAATTTAATATAACCCGCAAAGAACCAGTACGGCTGGGATTGGTTTGGAAGAACCCGGCTATTGTGCGCGCCAGCTGCTTGCTTGTGCCTTGATCGTGACTTTGCGTCAGAAAGGAGACTGTGCTGTTGATTTGGGAGCCGCAAAGATAGATTGGAGCCTGCCCGGGGCTTTTTCAACTGAATTTTTAGCCTTCTATGCACTATGCGTAAGTAAAGCAACAAGAGTCAACCCCCCATGTTCGCCAAAGGCCCAGCATGAAAGCAATGCTCATCATCGGAACAATCCCAGCACACCAATCAGAATCAACCTTGTAGTCAAGTAATCCCAAAAAAAGGTTGCAGTAACCCATGGCCGTCACAGTTCTAAGGGTAGTTACATGGTCCTTTAATATAAAGACTCTAAACCCTAGTATGTGGCTTCAGGTTCATCCACCTTCCCCGGCCTGGCAGCAGCGTAATCCAGAGGATGGCCAGATCCCCGTAGTTCCCGCTAGGCACCATGGTGTGCGACGCTTGGGAGTCTCTTAGCAGAAGGGGTTTTTGGGAAGGAATCCGGGGGGCAAATCGTGGGGGGTTTCGCTCCAAGTTGGGGGGCGCTTCGTTGGCTTCCTAAAAACTCCCAAGCTTATTTCTACATGGGATCCTCGAGTTCCCAATTTTAGGGAACTTTTGTTTTCTTTATCAAACCACGCCCTACCAAGGGTTTGAGCCGCAGCGAAGACGTGCCTTCGATCTATGGAGAGCTATAAGTAAGGTTTGGGGTTGACAGTGGTTTGGGGTCGAGGGACAGGCCTTACAGTTCAGAACCCCCGCGGGCCCTCACTTCCTAAAGCGCTATAGCCCCCTCGGCCCTAACCCCCCGAACCCCAGCAAGCACAGCAAGGCACCCAATGACTCCCAGACCCCTTAGAATCGCCCCCCCATATCATACTTGGGCCCCCCTGTACCCTAAACCCCAAACCCCAAACCCCAAACCCAAACCCCAAACCCTAAACCCTAAACCCTAAACCCTAAGCGGCGGAGCCTTCGTCCTCGACCTCCGCGGCGGTGCGGAGCTCGAAGCGCCGGCCGCTCCTGCGGGTTTCAGGGCTCCGGCAAACTCTTGAGGTAGGGCTTCTGGAGGTTTAGGGTTTAGGGTTTAGGGTTTCGGGTTTAGGGTTTGGGGTTTAGGGTTTCGGGTTTGGGGTAGGTTAGGGGCTCTGGCTTCAAGTACTTGAGCTAAGGGAACACAGGGACACCGCGTGTGAGGCCACCTTTGGGGCCACACAGGGGAGCAAAAGAATCGGTGCGACTGATCCTGAAAGTTTATCGTATTTCTAGTCGGATCCGAAGAGGATCGTAGTGGTCCCAAGATGGCTCCATATCCTGAATCTCCTGGAGCTGTTGCAAGAAACTTCACACCCGTCCCAGGGCACACAACTTCACGACACGGCCTGCTTCGACGGCCATTTCTCCGTGGACCTGCTGGGCTAAAGCTCCCAGCAACAGTGAGGGCTTAGGGTTTTAAGGATGGATTAGGGTTACTGAATTGTGGGATGGAAAGGGCTTGCTTGGAGGTACCTCCTCGGGCATTTCTTGACTGCCCTCGGCCCAAAACGGGCCCGGATCAACACTGGCACCTCCTAAGAACTCATGCTCTCACTGTTTCTATCTCTCCACCCCAAACAATAGCGCCTAATATGGTCGTGGGCAGTTAACCCTAACGTAAACCCTGAACCCTAACTCTAAACCCTAAACCGCAGGGCTGATAAGGGCTAAGGTTTCGGGCTTCTTCCCACAGCTTTCGGCTCGCTCCTACTTCTAACTTCGCCTGCAGGCGATCCCCGGCTGCCTGAAGCCCGCCGCGCCTCGCCTGGGGCCATGTGGGGGCTTCCGAAAATCGGGGTTTAGGGTTTAGGGGTTTAAGGTTTAGCGGGGGTCCCTTAAAGGGGATTCGATTCTGTTTGGGGTATAAACGGGGTACCCCCTATTTTGGGAAATGCCCATGTGTCTACGGGTTGTACCTTGGACCTTAAGTACCATTGAGGTTTGGGGACCCTTTCACAAGATCCTTAAAGTAGTATAAGGGCCATAAGGAGTACATTAAGGGAAACCTTTAGGGGCACAACCTTCGGGGTCCAAGTCTTAATCCCTTGAAGGAGATCAAGGTGTTTAGGGCTTTCAGGCCTTTGGGATACTTCGTGCATTGTGAGCAACTACCACTTCTGCATTCCACGGTCATCCACATCGTCTCTTCAAAGCCCTGATTGAAAACGAAGCCAAGAACCGCGGGGCCTTTTCTTCTGACGCGGGATCTGCCTTGGTCCTGGCGAACTGAACGGAGGACGGCGTAAGATATAGGGAGCTACTTCATTAGGCTGGGGATCTCGGCAGTTCGTGCTATTCTTCTCAAGGGGGATTTGAAGGGATTGGGCTTGGGAATCCTTGCGCCGCACTGGGTCGCACATTGCCCTTGACCCTAGGCCTTCAGGGGTGAAGCGGCATGTGGGGCCTGCTTCGTCAGTTTGGAACACATCGATCTACGCGGGATTTAGCAGAATTTGGAGTTACTCCATAAACACTAACAACCCGAACCCCTAAGCCCTAAAAACCGGGACTTCGATGAACCATGGCGCTGGCAATCCCAAGCAAGAGAGCGGGTCCCGACCATTGTCGTGACCTCGGAGCTAGCTCACGGGTAGGGTTTTGGGTTTAGGGTCTAGGGTCTGGGACTTTCAAATCTGAGTAAGGATTCTAATTTTTGGGTAAGCTGTCTGTCGTTGTAACCTTTCTTGGGGTGTGAGCTCTTCAAGTACCAGGCCCGTCGGACTGGATTGACAGATAAGCACACGATGCCCGAGCAGAGAGATGTCTTGCAGCCCTGAGTTCGAAGCCCCCTCTTCAGTCCCAGAAGCCCCTAAACCCTAATCCCTAAACCCTAAACCCTGAACCCTAAACCCTAAACCCTGAACCCTAAACCCTAAACCCTGAACCCTAAACCCTGAGCCCTAAACGCTAAACCCTAAACCCTAAAGAAAATCGAGCAGCGCTGCCGAGTCTCCAAGCCCCAAGACCTTCCTTGAGGCCCGCCCGAGGGATGCTGGGACACGCCTCAGGCTCCCACGGTTCTGCTCATCCCGTTGCTCCTTCACGCTTTCGGCCTGCGCCGGAGCTTCAGATCTCAATGAGCCCCGGAACCTAAAAGCCCGTTTCGGCCCCTAAACCCCCAACCCTCTAAACCAAAAAATCTGGACCTCTGCTCCCACAAATCTTCAACTTCCATTCCTCAGCTCCAAGGCTTGAACTCCACCGGTGAGAGCCCGTCTTTTTCCTGTTCTAGAAGGGTAAGAAAGCTGAACTGGGGAGTTGGCAATTACAACTCGCGATGCAGAGGGAAGGGAACAGGAACAACAGGTCCCAGAAAGCAATAAAAGAGGAAAGATGAAGGAAGAGAGGACTGTGAGGCGCCCCGTAGGGAGGAGAGAGACACAACCCATGTTGAAAATGATCCCTTTGAAGCACTTTAAGTGATACCATTCAAAAACACTTTGAAAGTGCTCATTTGTAACCACTTTATTTATTAGACATCGCTTCGAAAATACCCTTAAGGACCCGCTCCTGTTCAAGTTTAGGCCTTACAGGTCCTAGGAATCCAGAGGCCCCAAGCCATCTTCTCGGCCTCCTCGAGATACTTGCTGATCTTGGCTCGCAGGCGCGTGACACGATTGGCCGAACGAGGATCGTCCTCCCGCGGACATGTCGAGACTGCGAGCTTGGGAGGAGTGGGAAACAATGACTTACGTAGCACCTCACCCCCCTGCAAAATCAATATACCTTTTATATATGATACGGGAAACATTTGCTTTTACACTGGGTGGCTTACTTTCGCTTAAAGTTTCCTAGGTAGCTGAAGTAAAGTTTCAAGCGCGGTTTCTTTTCACCAACTGAAATCGCAGCTGCCCTACCCATGACCCTCCATGTAAGCCAACAATGCTGTGGGGTTTAACCCTACCAAGACGGTGAGCGAACGCTAAGCTCGCCGTCCTGAGCCAAACCTCATAACGACACAGGTTGTACTTCGGTATGCCGGATTTCGACAGAGTGTCCATCCGAAGTCTCCTCCCATAACTTAGGGCTAGCCCAATCACCCTGAACCCTAAACCCTAAACCCTAAACCCGAAACCCTAGACCCTTCAACCTGCCCGAAGCCACTAAGCCCGGCGTGAAGCGTGCTGAGGCTGGCCGTCCTCGGACAGGCGTGGCATGACCTGGCAACTCGCACCGAGACCCTAAACCCTAAACCCCAGGGCTCAACACATTTTACCTCTTCTTTTAAAAGCTCGTAAAAAGATGTAGGCAATAACCGTATGTACATATATATATATGTAACACATGCAATGTACAACTCCCAAAACAGCGGAGGCACTCCATTCAACAAAGCTTGAGCCCCTTGATTTTTCGACAATCTGGCCCCGGATCTCAGAACCCAGGCGAAAGACCTGACACATGTACAAGAATGCTGTAAAGTGGTTATTGCTAGCATTACTATTATTACCAACAGGAAAAATTTCCCATACAACCGGCCCTAAGCCCGACCCTCCATCCCATCAAAAGGGACCCAGTGTATGACAAGAGCACTTGCCGGGAGCATCGAGATCTGCACTAGAGACTGTCTCGCTCAGGCTCGTCTTTTTCCACGGGGCATGTGATCATGATGCTTTACACTTCTGAATTGCACCGTATGCGAAGGATAGCTAGTCTTGACTGCTCTAACCTTGTTTGGAGTAGTTATTTCTGACTCCTAGCTTGCAGCTTGCAACTTACGCTTGACAGCTTACAGCTCATATCTTGCAACTAAACACCCTTTGACTTTAAACTTGCAATCTACAGCTCAGGTCTTACAACTTGCAACTTCCATAGCGTCTAACTGTATAACTTGCTATGCATAGCTACCCGTCGGATTCGAAAAGCCGTAGGGCGCTTCTTCTGCCTTACGGGTCCCAGACTCTCAAGCCCCTGGTGGACCCCGATCTTCAAGGTCAAGGGAGGAGTTAAACTTGGACTTAAACTTGGACCTCGAAGGATGTGTGTTTTAAGAGGTTCCCTGAAGGTACTCCAACTATGGCCCGTATATGCCCTTGGTCGATGAGGTGTCTATCGATTGCGATCTTGATCTGCTTCAGAAGGCGCATACTGCCTTAGTTTTTTTGCGCACGGAGGCCCAGTCGTACCTGCTGCGATCTTGCCCGACCATTATCACACTGACCTTAACAGACCTGGATGCGCGGCACTGCTCACGCTCCGTCCGCATGCACAAGCGGTGTGTGCTTTATGCCCTTTGGAGATTCTTAAGAAAGGGTCCCCCAAACCCAAGGGTACCAACCTTAGGAAGTCCTTATGGGTGAGAACGCCTGGGAACGCTGCTACTTCCAAACTTGATCCCCAGGATATGTAGGGAACAACCCTGGAACCTTCTACCATACCCTAAACCCTAAACCCTAAACTCTAAACCCTAAACCCTA